GCGATGCTACTTCATCCCTGCACCCTGAAGCCTTCAGCCCAAAACCCGAGGGTGCGCTGCCCTGTGTTATTACGATGGATGGTAGCATGAAGGTAGCTCGTGTAACTAGGCAATGTTGGGTGCTGCACTCCTATGATGTTTCCGGGACTAGAAGGGGAACCCCTGCTTGGGCTGATTTCGGTGTGTGGGTGAACCCAGTCGCCAGGCAGGACGCCGGTGACTTTCGCCAGGCGATCCGGCGGGGCAGCTCGTACTGAGCAGCTCTCAACGCTTTTAAAGTTTGAAGAATGCATCCTGTTCTAGTTCAGATTGCAGCCTCGAGCGGTTTTCTTGTAGTTTGTGAGGTGTTAGTGATTCGAGTATCCACACAACTTCGAATACCCTAGATGCTCCTAATGTCGAGGGTTACTACAATAAGAGTTGAAGTACAAATCATACTGATAGGCTCGTTCTGTTTCTTTTACCGTAGACACTTGAGCGTGCTAATGGCTGGGAGAGTCCTAAAGGGATGCTCCTGATTTAGGTTAGGTTGCAGATGCATGCGGTAAAGATGCGCAGTGCCGCGCGTTGCGGCACTGGACTTGCAGAGCCGCGAATGCTTGGGTCATCCTGGGGCCGCACATTCCGAGTGGAACTTAGATACCACAGGTCCGAGATAGTTATAAATGACTGAATAATTACCCATCATTGTAGTTCCTGTTAGCATTAAATCCTCAACCCATGCTGATACCCTTGTAAGGCCATGCTGCATGGCTTGCTTGTGAAAACCAGTGCTTGAGCCTTTCACTTAGGCACGTGCATGGCGTCAAAGTATATAGGCGTCCTGATATGGAGACCACCCGTCTCTAGATGTACCCCAAACCCTAAACCCAAACCGCAGCCGACCAGGGTTTGCCTGAGCCTACAGCAGCCTTTTCCACTGTGGCTGCGCTTTGAGCCCTGGGAAGTTTCCGTCTCCTATAATGAATATAGGGTTGTTTAGGATTCAGGGTTGGGTTTAGGGTTTAGGGTTTCATAGGGTCCCATTTCCTCTCTTGCCGAGGATTTGCAACGTCGACAGCACTGAAACTCAATTGCTGCATGTGAAAGATGGAAACACCATCACGAGGCGCATTTGATTATCAAGAATCGTCTACATGTAGATTGTACCGCAGTTTGACTAGTTGGGGTGCATCTTTATAGGACAGTTTGCCCGACAGTTTAGAGCGCAATTCATTCTGTCAGGCTTCGAGACAAGTTCAGGAACTTCCGGCACAGCAGTTTGCTACAAAGCTTAGCTTGTTTCGAGTGGTCTTTAGATGGCATCATGGTCTGAAGGACCCAAGATCCATCTGCGAGCTAAGCCATGAGGCGTCGTCCCACAAGATTTAGCCCGCCGTCGCTGGTGAATACTGACAGTGTTGACGACACAGTTGATGATGAGAGGAACACTTTGGTCGGGGGGAATGACATCCATGCTTTCGTCAGCATGTTCTCACACCTGTGCTTATTCGTTTGAATCCTCCTCCTCCTCCTCCTCTGCGTCGCGCCGTCATCGTCATCACAAACTATCCACGAATGCTGTGACCGCAGTCGTGGTCGTCGTCATCACCATCATCATCACTAGACGTTCAGTCGTGATGGCAGTGTGCGAATGGTGGTGCGGATGAACATGTTCATCCTGATGAAATCGAACGATGATGATGTTGATGATGATGATCATGGTGGTGGTGATGGTGGTAGTGATGATGCCAAGGAAGATGACGAATTAATATGAAGAATAAGCATTTGCTGATGATGTCTGTGATGGTGGTGGTCATGATGCTGACGGTTATGACGATAAATATGAGTATCATGAAGATCAGTGCGATGTAGTTCTAAGAATGATGACAATGATGCCGCTGACGGCAACGGCTATGAGCATGAGGATGGGAGCCAGTGTTGGTGGTGCTGGCCATAATGATGCGTGCATGGTTAAGGAGGTGGTGATCGCCATGCTAATGTGATGATAATGGTGATGGTGATGGTGATGATGATGATGATGCTGACTCTGCTGATTGCAATGATGATGATGATGATGATGATGGTGATGATGATCGCAAGTGCAAAACAAGGTCATCACGACAGAGCGTTCAACGGCTCCAATCAGCGCAGGGCCTTGTCCCATGTCGTCAAGCATGCTCTCGTGTGCTTGTATAGTCAACGACAACATTCAGTCTATGCGCAAGCACGGGGCTTTAACCGAATATAGGCGTCTGAACAGTTCTAGTGATTCCAGGAGCTAATGCCATTGCTGAGAGTTCCTTGTATCTATCACGTATAGTATTACCCCAAAACTCGGATTGAATTGTTAACGCCCCTTCATTAGCTAGTTGGCCCTGTCGGTGCACTTCGGACTTGCCATTTGAGATGCCATGTCTGGGATCATCGCGGGAGATGCAGGCGCCAGGGAGCAAGACTGCATGGGGCAAGAATTGCTGATGTGTTCGGCTTTGCCTCCTACAGTTCCATCTATATACACTTGTTCGGCAATCACGCCTGCACACGCACATGCGCAAACGCCCGCACACAAGCGCACACGCACACACGTTACACACACACACACA